CTGCCTTGTTAGTGGTGGTATTTTTAGTCATCACATACATAGGGCTTCAGATGATTAACATTCTACCCTGGGGTGCAGTGTAGCCGGAATCTGTTGTTAAACTACTTAAGTTCTTAGAGAGGTTGGCATGAGGGGGAGCCAAGGTCCAGCCTGCCATTGTCTGTGGCTTTCTTGGTAGATCACACATAGGGCAGTTTCCAGCAGAAAGGGCCTTGTGATTCCATCCTTGTGCAGGAAGCCTCCCCTGGGCTTGCCAGGGTCACAGACTAATGGGGTGTAAGCCTTAGGGAACTGAGCTGTTGTAGACATCCAGTCTTTTGTCTGTGCTTTCAGCAGCTCAAGGAATCTATAGATTCAGGCAGTGCCTAAGGAAGCCAGTGACATAATTCCCTCCAGCACAATTTATTTCTCAGAGGCAAAATCTCCCATTAGGATATGCCTTCCCTGCATTTTTACCTTTACAAATGAAAAACTTTCTGGAATGATAGAGCCCAGGGTGCTTCCTGGTGGCCAGAGAGGAGCACACATGGGAACCTGACTTTCTTTAGTGTGTGAGGTTCAGGACACAAGGGCACCTTGAAGAAAACTTTAAAATGTTTAGCCAGCAAAGTAGCACAGGCCTTTAATCCCAACACTTGGGAGGCAGAGGCTAGCCTGGTCTATATAGTAGACTTCAGGATAAGCAGGGATACATAGCTAGACCCTGTCTCAAGAAAAAACCAGAGCCTGGGTATGGGGATGAACACCTTTAATCCCAGCACTTTGGAGGCTGGATTTCTGAGTTCTGGTCTATATAGTGAGTTCCAGGACAGCCGGGGCTGCACAGCGAGACCCTGTCTCTAAAAACCAAAACAAAATTAAAAAAAAAAAAAGAGAAAAATCAAAACAAAACCCAAGAAAATAAGCCATCCAAAAAACAAAACAAATAAAATATATTAATTATTTAAAATATATAAACCAGCTGGGTGTGGTGGCATACACCTTTAGTCGTATGGGAGGCAGAGGCAGGTGGATTTCTGTGAGTTCAAGGCCAGTCTGGTTTACATAGCGAGTTCCAGGCCAACTGGGACTACAGAGATCCTGTCTCAAAAATACAAAATACAAAATAATAAATAAAATTTAAAAATGTAGCTGGGTGTGGTGGTGCACGCCTTTAATCCCAGCACTTGGGAGGCAGAAGCAGGCAGACCTCTGTGAGTTCAAGGCCAGCCAGCCTGGTCTACGTGGTGAGTTCCAGGATAGCTGGGGCTGCAGGGAGACCTGTCTCAAAAATAAATAAATAAATAAATAAATAAATAAAAATGTATAAACCATATGTGGTATACACATGTAATCTCAGCTCTTGGGAGGTGGGAGCAGAAGGATCAGAAGTTCAAGTTCATCATCAACTATATGAGACCTTGTCTTTAAAAAAAAAAAGACAATACAATAGCAAAAAATGATACAGGCCTGGGGAGAAGGCTCCATTTAAAGTGCTTGCAAGTATCAGGACCTGAACGAATTCAGTCCCCCAGAACCCACAAAAAAAAAAGTCAAATGCAATTGTAATCCCAGTACAGGGGAGGCTGAGACAGGAGGATCCCTGAGGCTCACTTGTCAGCCAGTCGAACTGAATTAGGGAGCTTCTGATTCAGTGAGAGACCCCGCTTCAAACAATAAGTGAGGAGAGGTAATTCAGCAGTTGAGAGAAATTGCTGCTCTTATAGATGAGATGATCAGGGTTCAGTTCCCAGCACCCACACCAGGTAGTTTACAACCTTATTCTGGCTCCAGGGGATCTGATGCCCTCTTCTGGCCCCCACAGGTACCTGCACTCATATGAACGTACTCATGTACATGCGTGTGTGTGCGCACACATAATTAAAAATCAAAAAACAGCTGGGCATGGCAGTGCACGCCTTTAGTCCCAGTACTTGGGAGGCAAAGACAGGCAGATCTTTCTGAGTTCAAGGCCATCCTGGTCTACATAGTGAGTTCCAGGACAGCTAGGGCTACAGGGAGACCCTGGCTCAAAAAGACCAAAAAAATTCATCATTACTATTTTTTAATATTTTATTTAATATTTTTATTTTATGTGTATGAGTGTATTGCTGTGTGTATGTAAGTGCACTCGTGTTCTGCAGTGCTGGTGGAGGACAGAAGAGGCTGTCGGATCCCCTGGAACTGGAGTTGCGGACAGTTAGCTGCCATGTGGGTGGTAGGATTCGAACCCTGGTCTTCTGCAAGAACTACCATTATTATTGTATTTTATTATATGTATGAGTTTTTTACGTGTATGTGGCGCCCAGAGAGGGCAATAGAACCCCTGGAACTGGACATATAGATGAATGGGAGTCGCCATGTAGGTGCTGGAAACTGAACCCAGGTCCTCTGCAAGAGCAGCAAATTCTCTTAGCTGCCTGAACCATCCCATCTTTCCAACCCCAGATTTCCTTTGTTTGTTATGACCTTGGCAGTTTGTGGGAGGCCCTGGTCAGGTATTTTTTAGCATGTCCTACTTTGGGAATCTGCAGCTTTATTTACTGGAAGCTTACTTCCGGTTACTTACTATGCCAGGCTTTGGGTGTCTGGCAGTTTTGTAGTTACTTTTTCTTGTTGGGACAAAATACCTGACAGAAGCAACTGGTTTGTAGTTTTCAGGGACTATCAGAACATCATGGCAGGGAAGCAGGGCGATGGAAACTTCTGGCACAGATTATCACATCTTGCCAGTAGACAGGAAGCACAGAGAGCTCAGGCAGGAAATTCTGTCCACTTGTGTCCACTTAGAACCCTCCAGCTCACCCCTCTGGCCCTGTCTTTGCCATGTGGTCCTATAATCTCCCAAAATAGTGCTACCAGCTGGGGATTGAAACACATGAACTTATAGGAGACTTTTCTCAATTAAACCATAGCAGAGCCAGTCAAGATATGTTATACTGGCCTTCATTTATCATTGTCAGCGTTGTGGGACTTTGAGAAAGCTCACTGGGCCAGGGCAGGAATTTGAACCCAGACAGCCAGACTGACTTTTGTGCTATTTGCTACTTTCTCTGAGGAGCTGAGAGACTTCTGCAAGCTGCTTTGGGGTGATAGGCACATCCTGGAAAATCAAGCAACCAAATGATATTTAAAAAAATAGTACAATAATTAGAGTACATTAGAAGTGGATCGGAGTCCTGTCTGGTGAAGTGGATTAGAGAAAGTGCATTTAAATAATCTTTAGGGCTAGTGAGATGGCCCAATAGGTAAAAGTACTTGCCACACAAGCCTAATAACATGAGTTTGATCCCCAGAACCCACATAAAGATTGAAGGAGAGACCTACTCCACAAAAGTTGTCCTCTGACTTCTACATTCATTCTGTGGTATGTGCGCATGTACACACACACACACACACACACACACACACACACACTTAATAAACAGGAAATAAATGCTTAAAAAAAAGGTTATTTTATGCCAGGTGTGGTGGCGCACGACTTTAGTGTCCCCCCCCCAAAAAAGTAATCTTAACCCACATGTATCTTTTGAGCTCTTTTTGCTTTGCCTGTTAAGTGTTCCTGAGTGAGTGTTCTTAAATGTCACTGAAAGAATACTATTAGCCAGCCATCTGACTAAATGCGGCAGAAAAATCAGCTATATTGGACGTATTAGGTTGAGTCTCCCGCATGCCACACAGTTCATTCCTTTGTGAATAATTTGCAGGGGTTTTTTTTTGGTCTTTTTGAGACAGGGTCTCCCTGTAGCCCCAGCTGTCCTGGAACTCACTATGTAGACCAGGCTGGCCTTGAACTCATAGAGAGATCCACCTGCCTCTGCCTCCCGAGTGCTGGGACTAAAGGCGTGCACCACCACACCTGGCCAATTTGCAGGTTTTTAAGGATGATTCTGACTCTTGCCAGGTTCTGGTTTTGTGCATGGCAACTTTAGAACCTCATCCAAGTGTAAGATGCCACTCCACTGAGTTGTTCTTCTTTTATGGCTGGCATGACCAAGGCTTAGAGAGGCTCTAAAGGCATGGGTGCTACCCCAGTGGACGTAGAACAGAATCCTAGGACTCTGCTCTCTGAGGATGGCCTTGAACTCCTGTTCTTCCACCTCCACCTCCCAACTTCTGGCATTGCAGGCATGTGTCACCATGCCTGGCTGACTTATTTGAGTACATAGTTTAAGACGTTAGAGGTTCTCAGCTGCTAATGTCCACCCTCCCCTAGGTTCTTGGTAAGAAGTGAGACTAGGCTATAGAGATGGCTCAGTGGTTAAGAATGTGTGCTGCTCAAGCTTTCTACACAAACAAGAGAACCGGAATTTGGATTCCAGCACTTATGTAAAAGCTGTGTGTGATCCTGCACATGTCTATGCCCCAGCACTGAGATAAGCAGATATATGAGGACTGCTGGTGCTTTACAGCTGCCAGCCTAGTGAAAGACGTGAGCTCTGGCTTCATTAGGAGATCCTGTCTCAAAGGAATAAGGTGGAGTGTGATCATGGAAGACATCCAGTGCCCTCCTTTGGCCTCTGAGTCCTCTGAACACGGGTATTCCACACACATAGACCACACACACACACACACACACACACATACACAGTAAGTTAGATTGTGTATGCGTCTGTGATACTCTGGACCAGTGTTTGGTGTTGTAAGTGGAATCTGTAGGCAATAAGTACCTAGAAGTGACAGAGACCTGTGGTTTGTTTTTTTTAAATACATTTTTGGTGTTGGGCAATGTGGTTTGTGCCTATAATTCCAGCACTCTGGAGGTAGAGGCAGGAGGATCTTTGCAAGTTCCAGGCAAGCCAGAGCTCCAAACAGAATTCTTCCTCAAAGCAAAATATTTTTTGGAGAAGAAAGATGTATGTTTTATAACCCTAGGTAATTTGGTTTCTCTTGAGTAGTAGATGGTGATAGGCAGGCATTGGTTTAGTGGAGAGCTTACAGTTTTTCACTGGGTTAGGTTTGCCCCCTTTAGAGACCTCCCCTTCACCTTCAGCTAATATGGCTCCTTTGTTTGACCACAGAATGTACTGAAGGAACATGCAGATGACGACCCCAGCCTAGCCATCACTGGGGTCCCTGTGGTCAGTTGGCCAAAGAAGACTCCAAAGGTAAGACATGGACTACTTACAGCTGGGAGCCTCCTTTTATCTCTCCTTTCGGATGAGAGGAGCTTTTTAGCTGGGGTCCCTGGGAGAGGGAGCCCTAGTAAACATGAATGAGTTACCTTTCATTGCAAGAGTTTGTCTTTTAGGAAGGGTTCCATTTCCCAGCTGTGGCAGCTGCAAGCAGTGCCCCCTGGTGGTCACTGTTACCTGTGCCAAACTCATGCTTTTCTGTGGATTGTCTCAAATTTCTTCTATTCTCTTCTTGCTTCTTCCCTTTGCCTCTGTGGACAGTTTGCCTCCCTCTTAGAATATACAAATCAGAGCCAGTCTTTAAGCCTTGAAAAAGAGAGCAAAATACCTTGTAAATTCTTAGAAAACTAAAAAAAAAAAAAAATCAATGGAAAGATTATCATAATCCTTAGAATATTTATCTAAAAGTTGACTAGGGATTTTTCCTAGTTATATTTTCATTTAATTTTATTCAAATAATTTAAATTTTTCTTCAAGATCTAACTATAAAAGACAAATTTACAGTCGGGCATGGTGGCGCATGCCTTTAGTCTCAGCACTCAGGAGGCAGAGGTAGGTTGATCTCTATGAGTTCAAGGCCAGCCTGGTCTACATAGCAAGTTCCAGGTCAGCTGGGGCTACAGGGAGACCCTGTCTAAAAAAATACAAAATAAAAAAAAAAAGATTTACTGTTATTGCTTATTAAATTTAACCTAATACATATAGTTTATAAAAATAAAAAAAAATTTAAAAACTGATCAGCACTAAAAATAAAAATGTCTAACTAAACAGGACCTAGGGAGATAACTCACTGTGTAGAGTGTTTTCTATACAACCATGAGGGTCTGAGCACTCACATAAGACACCTGGCGGTGACACATGTTTATAGCCCCAGCACTGGGGCAGGAAGGGGTTTGCTGAACAGCGAGTCTAGCCAAAGCAGCAAGCTCCATGTTAAGTGAGAGACTCAAAAAGTAAGGTGAAGAACAATCGAGGAAGACATCTTCATGTCAGCCCTTTGGCCTCCACATGGTGATTCATGCTAATCCCAGCAATAGGGAGGTTGAGACAGGAGGATTTCCACAAGTCCAAGGCCAGTCAGGACCCTATCTGAAAATTCAACAACAACAGAAGATTAATAGTAGATACATCATGGAGAACTTATTAGGAGCAAGTAGCTGTTGCCTAACCCTCAACATCTCATATTTAGACTCTATAAGGCTGTGGAATAGGCTATTGTGATAGACAAGGAAACAGACTTTAAAAGGTATCAGCACCTATTGGGCCAGAGCCAATTACCTGCAGATAGGCTGGCTTGACAGTAGAAACCAAACTTTCAACCAATGCCCACATCATAACCTACCAGGGAGAGAAAATAGTGGCATTTTTGGTGGATTCACATCCTTCCAAAGGTAGCGCTAGGTGGGATGTGCCGATACCATCCATCCAGCCATCTTGTATTGTTGTTGTTTGAGACAGGGCTTTGTGTATCCCAGAACTGGCCTGGAATTCACTATGTAGCTGAAGATGATCTTGAACTCTAGAGTATGAACCCAGCTGGACTCCATAGCTAGTTAAAGGCCAGCCAAGGCTTCATAGTGAGATCTTCTCTCAACAAACTAACTACTGGGGATTCACCTCAGTGGTAGAACACTTGCATAGCACAAGAAAAACTGTAGGTTGGACGCTAGCACTACAAGCCGAAAAAAAGTTTGGGGCTGGAGAGATGGCTCAGCAGATAAGAGCACTTTATGCTCTTGCAGAGGACCCAGGTTCAGTTCCCAGCATCATCATGGTAGCTATAACTCCAGTTCCAGGGAATCAGACGCTCTCTTCTGGCCTCTGTGGGTGCATAGATACACATAGCCAGAAACCCTCATACACATAAAATAAAAATAACATTTTGGGGCCGGGAGTGGTGGCATACGCTTTTAATCCTAGCTCTTGAGAGGCAGAGGCAGGTGGATCTCTATGAGTTTGAGGCCAGCCTGGCTTACATAGTGAGTTCCAGGGTCCTGGGAGACCCTGTTTCAGAAAGACCAAAAAAAAAAAAAAAGAAAAATTGAGGAGGGACTGATGGTGTCAGCATGCACAAGACCCATGCAAACTTATACCCAGTACAGAACTGTGGAAATGAACAGCAGGCCCCAATCTTAGCTGAAGAATTATTGGTAGCTGATTACTGCTGGGTGAGGAAGAGCTGATCTTTACATGATAAGATAGGCCTTAACACAAATGACAGAATGTATGAACTCCAGTGGGGGTGCTATGGGAGGGTACCAAAGGGGAAGGGGGTGTAAAGATGATTTTTCTGTTTGCAATACACAAAAATTCAATTAAAAAATTTTTTTAAATTTTTTTATTTATTATTTTTATTTTATGTGTATGTGTGTATTGCCTGCATGTGGGTGAATGCACCCATGTCATGTAATGCCTGCAGAGGACAGAAGAGGCTGTCAGATCCCCTGGAACTGAAGTTATGGACAGTTGTTAGCTGTCATGTGGGTGCTGGGATTTGAACCCAGGTCTTCTCTAAGAACAGTCAGTGTTCTTAACCACTGAGCCATCTCTCCAGCCCCATCAATTAAAAAATTTAAAAAAAAGTTTTTTATCTGAACTGGGGATGGTAGCACTCCTGCTTCATATGCATGAATCCCTGGGCTTCATCTCCAGTTTGTTGAAGTGTATAAGGTTATAGAGCCAACCTCCTGCCATGTAAATAGGATCTTCTTTGTTTATTGGTCCACAAACTCTCTTAGACACAGGGCCCTGAAACCACTAATTGGGCCCAGGGCTATGTGACTCCAAACAGGAAAGTAAGGCTCTCTTCTCTGGAGTTGCTCCAGGGGAATATTAGGATCTCCAGAACAGGAGCTTTTGAAAAGACGAACTCGACCCTATCTATTGTGATCTCAAAATTAGTGGAGGGGATCATGGCAGGCTGACAAAGCTGTCCTGTCTCCCTGCTGAGACCTAGCCCACCCCTAAAGCTTTGTGGATACTTTTCCCCCTCCAAAGGCCTATATATAGGAAGATGGCTTCTGGGGCACAGACCTTGTTTAAGATTGCTATGGAGGATAGACTCAGAACTGCTGGTCATTCAGCACAGCTGGGGTTGGTGTTATAACCTTAGGCTGAATGTGGAAAAAGAGGAGAGAAACAGTATTTAGCTACATGTCCAGGATTTCTTTTTTTTTTTTTTTTTTTTTTTTCCTTTTAAATGCCTCATAATGAAACATATATAAGCCAGGAGTGGTGACTCATGCACTCCCAGTACTCAGGAGGCTGAGGCAGGAAATGGCTGTGAGTTTGAGGCTAGCCTGGGCTACATAGTGAGCACGCTCTCTCTCTCTCTCTCTCACTCAAAAAAAAGGCCTATAATTCACTTAAAGTTTTCAGAGGTTTTTTTTTGTTGTTGTTGTTTGTTTTGTTTTGTTTTTTTAAAGAGTGGTGATCTTCTAGGAGATTTTGGTACCTATTTTAAGAAACCTGACCAGCTAGGCATAGTGGTACATGGTTTTAATCCCAATTCTTGGGAGGTAATAGCAGGTGGCTCTCTGAGTTTTAGGCCAGCCTAGTCTACATAGCAAATTTCAGGACAGTGAGGGCTATATAGCGAGACCTTTGCTGTAAATAAATTAATAAGTAAAACCTGACCAGCTGAGGCTAGGGATTTAACTAACTGGTAGTTAAATCCCCCAAAAAAGACAAACACAAAAGAACTCACTATGGGGCTGGAGAGATGGCTCAGCAGTTAAGAGCACTGACTGCTCTTGCAGAGGACCCGGGTTCGATTCCCAGCACCCACATGGCTGCTATGACCCGTCCTTACCTCTAGTTCCAGAGGAATCTGAAGCCCTCTTCTGACCTCCACGTCATTGCATGACACGGGTGCACTCACATACATGCAGGCATACACATAAAATAAAAATGAAAAAAGAAGAACTCAGTATTCAGTTTCCTTCCTTAATCTTCTACCTTCTACCCAAAGCAATCACTAATTAACTTTCTATCTTTACAAATTTGTCTCTGTGGACATTTCTATTGTTTTTCTTTTCTTTTCTTCTGAGACAGGGTCTCCCTATAGACCCAGCTGGCCTGGAACTCACTATGTAGACCAGGCTGGCCTCAAACTCACAGAGATTTACTGGCCTCTGCTTCCCAAGTGTCAGGATTAAAGGCAAGTGCCACCACACCCAGCTGTCTCTCTCTGGATATTTCTTAAAAATTAAGTTATAATATATATGTGTATGTATATATTTGTGTGTATGTGTGGGGTTCTCTGACTTTAAAAAATATTTTATTTATTATTATTATTTTTTTGTCTTTTTGAGACAGGGTCTCCCTGTAGCCCCAGCTGTCCTGGAACTCATTATGTAGACCAGGCTGGCCTTGAACTCACAGAGATCCCGCCTGCCTCTGCCTCCCAAGTGCTGGGATTAAAGGTGTGCACCACCACGCCGGCTATTTTTACATTTTTATGTGTGTATTGTCTGCATGTAGGTAAGTGCACCGTGTTGTGCTATACTGAGGAGGACAGAACAGGCTGTCGGATCACCTGGAACTGGAGTTACGGACAGTTGTTAGCTGCCATGTGGGTGCTGGGATTTGAACCCCAGTCTTCTGCAAGAACATTCAGTGTTCTTAACTGCTGAGCCATCTCTCCAGCCCTTCTCTGACTTTTTTACAGTGTGGTTTAGATTAGTCCTTCCTTTTTATGGCCAAAAGCATTCAATTATATAGACAGCCAAGTTTGTGAGTTTTAAAAATTTGGGGTATTTTTCCTCTTTATTTTACACCTTCTGCTTAGGAATTCATCTGTTGATGAACTGTTTCTACTCTTTGGCTATTTTTTTTTTTAATTTTATTTATTATTTTTATTTTATATGTATGCGTGTATTGCCTGCATGTAGGTAAGTGCACCTGTGTCGTGCAATGCCCGTGGAGGTCAGAAGAGGTTGTTGGATCCCCTGGGACTGGAGTTACAGACAGTT